GAATTTAGCCGGCATGCATGCATGGAGGCAAATCACAGCGCACAAGTATTACCCCTACTGCTCTCTTAATAAGGTATAAGGCTGTTCCTAGGATTTCATAATATTTGTATTCTTTTATTCATATGCTAATCATTGTAATTATAATTATTATAATTATTCATAACTTCAATTTGCTGATTGAGGACCTAACTGAAGGGTGTGATTATTGCTTAATCTCCCTAACAGACATAAACAAAACAATCATTCTCCATGTTTAGCATCATCAGGTAAGAGCTACATCATTGAGTCTACTTTCCTCCAGGTTGCTCTTTCCAACCTTCTGATTCCAAACTACTGTAGATTAATTTCAGTTCAGTTTGGAATCAGATGGTATTAATCACTGTTTGTGCTTCACTCTTGAGGTCTCTGGTGTGATTTTGCATTAAGGTCTTGATTGCTTTATAACCACCACCACCCCCAGTCATTCATTATCCTGTATCCAACTGCCAACTAGTGAGAGGGACTTTGTGAAATAAAATATTATTTCCTAGTGTTTTTTTCAGTTTTTCAGTAAAATAATGAAGGAAAAAAATCATGTTGGATAGACTCTTTAACAAAAATTCAGGACCGATCTGCAGGGCCAACGTGCCCCAGAGCATCTGTGTCCAGTGGTCATTGCTTAAAGGCTGAAGGGGACGCTGTCACCCTCTCCTGCACTCAACCCATTGGGACTTCCAATTGTCTTTTCCTGCTGTGCATCAGAAGTAGTGTTTTCAGACTCGTGCCAGCACAAGGAGTGCTGTCTGATTCACTGCTGCACTTCAGGTCAGCATGTACAAACACCTCTACTCTAATATGCTACCGTGCATTGTGGCAAGAACACTTTGTGGAAGGAAGAACTTCCCTGAAACTGAAAAATGTTACCTGGGCCTGTCAGGTACCCAGCTTAGATATGTGGGCACTTGCAGAGAAATGTGGGGGAAAGTTTAAAACTCCTTGGTATCACTTGCAGTACAGTAGGTGTCAAAAGAATGAACTATAAAAGAAGCCACAGCAAGTAGACTGAAGTAGGGACGTAGTTCTTCTATGTTTGGCAGGAGATGCTGAGGAGTGAGACGCAACTGGACAAGGTGTGGGGCAGAGGAGGCAATGGCTGGCAGAACCAGAAGCCAGAAGATCCACGCAGTCCTGGATTCTAGACAGTGGCAGAGCAAATTCCACATGGTTCAGGTGCTGGAGAACTGGGCAAGAGAGCCTTCAGAGGAGAAGCTGTTAGCATTCCTAAGCCTACAGACAAAGCTGTACATAAGGTAGCGTGGGAGGAGAAAGAAAGGAGCAACAAAGCATTTTCATATTATAAGCAAAGTGGTAGAAACTGAAGTCATTTAGTTAAGTTCTAAGTACTTGTTAAGTTAGGTATTAGAGTACGTATTTACGCTTGGTCACTATAAATGGACACACACATACACATGCTGTATATGTTTAACAATAAAGAAAACTGACCTCTGAGGCACTCCTTTTACAGAGTTGATTTCTCTTCCTTAATCACACCATCTGAAACTACCCACTCTGATAGGAGCAGAACTTCTGTAAAACAATTGCCTCCTAATTAGCAGCCCTTGTAAACAGCCCAGAAGGATACCATGATTGATAGTAACAAGAGAACTCAGGTAGGACCAGTAGGGATACACTATTCCCATCTAGGTCCCAACAAAGGTTGTCCACCAGCACCAACAATATGAATTCCATCCCACTCCCACTCCCAGTGAATTAACATGGTCCAAATCAGCGTTTTTCAAACTTGGCAACTTTAAGATGTGTGGACATCAACACCCAGAATTCCCCAGCCAACACTGGTCTAAATAATGTAATACCTGTAGGCAAACATGAGGTAAACCCACTTTTCTCTGAGCTATCTCTTCCATCCCCATATGTTTATAAAATTAATTATACTCCCCCTCTTCCTAAGAGTACAGCATAAAACCTGGGAATGAAGGAAAAACATTGAATGGAAGGGTAATAACTAAATATTGTTCAGAAATAGTTGCCAGAGGCAAATAATCAGAGATGACTAGGATGACCATGCAGCTTTACACTCAACATTTGTGTCAGCAAAAGAAAAGGTCTGTTGCAGGCAGGAACAGTCTCTCTCTGTAAACCCTCACACTTCTTGTGTTTTTCAAGCATCAAATGGAAGCATTACTGCAATCTGACAGACTGTCAAGGTTTTATGAGTAGGATTTTCTAGCACTGAATATGAGCGATGATGTGCTGCAGCTGGCAGGTATCATGTTATTGCTGATAATACAAACATAGAAGATTCTGGTAGAAGATAAATGTCATTGTGAGAAGGCAGCAAAGGTGGTGATTTTGGAGATCATATTTCTCACATTCTGGAGAAGCAAAGAAATATGCAATTATCATTTCTAAGCACCCTACAATACTATTGGAAAATTAGAGATGTAACAATAATGTACAATTTTGCTAAAAGGGAACAGAAAGATTATTTGTGCCATGTTATGGTAATTTTGTAGCTTTGAGTTGCAGTTTTGCATATCACATGCACATACAAGCTTTCTCTTTCTCTCTCTCTCTCACTTAATCAGGGCAACACTATTGAGGTGCTATGGAAACACCCAAAACAAACTATGTCTTGACTTTCATTTCAAGTGGAAGCTTTACTTGAATATTAGTGGATTGGGTGGCTGTCACAAAATGATTGCAGTTGTTTAGTTTGAGGCACGTACTATAGGGTGGTGAAAATGTGCTGAGTTTTCAGCAGCAAGTAATTGGATATGAATATGGAAGTACTAGGCACTCTCTCATACAAAGCAAGTGAAGGTTGCTAGAAGGAAAATACCGTTTAATTAATTACATTTGATAAAATATTATTTTAAGGAAAAAAATCTCTGCTTTAAGAGATACGCAATGTTCTTTTATTTAAAGTGACTTGCAAAAGAGATATTTTCAGCCATATAAACTTCCAAGTATAACATCTGCAGACCTTTGGAAATTCATCCTCTGTAATCTAATTTCTACAAATTTATCTAACAAAAACCAGATAGCAACTATGTATATTAGATCTTAATTGCCAAAATCCTGGTGAGCAGGAAATGGCAGCATAGGGTTAGTAATCTCTCCATCTTTTTGCTGCTATCCAATGTCATCCAGATTTTTGCACTGGGCTAGGAATCTATAAGGAGAGGATAGGAGATTGCCCACATCTGCTCCGGATGGCTGCTCCTTGCGAGGAGACTGCAGGACAGCAGTCTTCTGTGGGTTTCAGCACCAGGAGATAAAGGGATTAGTCATCTTGCTCACAACCACAGCTGAGACTTTTAGGATACTAAATTTGCAAGCCTTATTTTCTAATCACTTTCAGAAATTGCCTATTAACCATCTTAAGCTTTCAGAGACCTTCAGAACCATACTGTAAGTTTGTAAGTTTGAAAAGTCGCCAGGTGAGTTTAGCTTCAACCCTGAACAAA